CCCGCCCCCCGCCCCCCGCCCGCAGCCGGGCCAGGCTCCAGCTCTCACTTACCCAGCGGGGTGGGGACGGCTCATTTTTGCAGAATCCCTTTCGGACCCGCTGCAGGTGCCGGGCGGGTGCGAGCGCCGGGCGTCGTCCAGAACCGGGCACCTGGTCTGGGCGCAGCGCCCTTCTGCGCCCCGGCTCCCCGCAGCCTCCCAGGCGGCCTCGGGCAGCGGCCACCGCCTCCAGGTTGCTAAGGAAGAAAGGAAGGCGAGAGCCCGGGGCCTGCAGAAGCGGGGAAGCTGCTGGAAGGGAGTGTGGGGAGGTGGAAGGGAAGCGCGTCCCCTCTGCTTGCTGGGCCGTGATGTGGGAGGAGATCCCAGCAGGCCCTGGCTCTGTTGCTCTGGGGCCTGCGTTCCCTAGGCACCTGTAACCTACACACACACACACACACACACACACACACACACACACACACACGCCTTTCTGGCCTGCTAGGTCCTGGGGAAGAAAGACTGGGGTGTCTGCCTGCAGATCAGGGAGAGGCCACAGTTTCCAGTCCTAAAGCAGACCCCAGACTGCAAATGCAAAGAAGACCAAGTCTCCTCTCTTTACCTGGAATAGCTTTTCCCGTTTCCACATCTGCAGAGGATGTCTTCAGCTCCCTCCCTCCATGGGAAAGCCCCATTCTTCTATCTGAGGTCCTCCAGCAGCCAGCAGGCCCTCTCATCCCATCCGGGGTCCCCTACCATCAAGCAGATGGCCCGCTCAGAGATTCAGAGGTTAAGGGGTACTCCTGCTGCGTAAAGAGAGCCGGGGCAGGCAGGGATTGGAATGCATCTGCGGCTGGAATGCTGGGCTTGGGTGAGGCCTTGGCTGCACCTTTCAGCCCTGGATGGAGGTGATCTTCCTGGATGTGCCAGCTGTTTACAGAGTCACTTGGTGGCTTCCCTGCTGGTAAGACACTTTAGGGGCAACTGAACCACCCCTGGTCTCTATTCTCACCTACCCACCACATTCAGGTGGGAGGGGCATCATCTTTCCCTCCCCTCTGCTTTTCCTGATGTTATAAAGGCCCATTGGGCATGACTGAGACCAGTTTTCTTGGCATCTGGCCCAACCAGCCTTCTTAGGGTTCCTCCACCTCCACTACCTCAACCTAGCAAAACTCTCCCTCAGTTTGAACATTGCCTTTCATTGCTGAAAAGCCCTATACTGATGACTTTTCTCATTACTGTGACAAAATACCTGACAAAAGCAACTGAATGAAAGAAAGAGGTTTATTTTTTTCACTCAGTTCCAGAGGATTCTGTAGGAGTAGCTGTGGCAGAGATGCTCAGTCTGTGGCAGCGGCACAGAGCCACGGTACTGTTCACATGTTGACAAATCAGAAAGTAGAGAAGGGCCATGCTGATTGCCACCAGGCTAGCCCCTTAAAGTTTCCACTATATTCTCTGACAGCCCGGGCACCTGGGGACCCTGTGTTGCTGCAGGGTCTTGTGGGACTTCACATCAACCCTAACAACCCCAGCTCACACACACTCCCTGCCTGGACATGCCCATCTTACCCTCACCCAGCTGTCCTGTACTGGCTGGTATATGTGACCACCTTTCCTACTAGAGTGTGAAATCCTGTGTTTTGTACTTTTGCTTTTTCTCAGACACAACTTAGCAATTCAACAAATGCTTGGACCAAAAACAAAGCAAAAGGGATCTCATCTAAGTTTCTGTCTTTGTTGACTATTAGTAAATGCTTCCTCAGCCTTTTACTGAGTACCAACCATCTGTATTTTATTATTACCAACCATCTGTAGCATCTGCTATCTCATTTAATCCTGATCTACGCCCCCCCCCTTGGTACCACAACAGCTTCAGTTGTCAACCTGACACACCTGGGTGGAGGGAACCTCAATTAAGGAGTTTCCTCCATTGAACTGACCTGTGACCATGTCTGTGGTACATTTTCTTGATTGCTGAGTGATGTGGGAGGGCCCAGACCACTGTGGGTGGTGCTGCCCCTGGGCAAATGGTCCTGAATTGTAATAATAATAATAATAAATAATAATGAATTGGGCTGACCACAGGCCAGAGGAGCAAACCAATAAGCAGTGTCCCTCAATGGTTTGTGCCAAAGTCTACAATGGCTTCCAAGAGGAAAATCTAAGGTTTAAATCCAGATCTAGCTGATCCCCCAAACTGGAATTTTAACCATGCTTAATGAGATCTATTTGTCCTATAGCTTTTGCAAATTGTTACAGGATTCAAATTGTCTATAGCCTCAGAGTTTCCAGACCTGATAGATCAGAGATTTCCCAGGGGTGAGAATATTAGGTAGGTAGGTAGATAGACAGATGATTGATAGATGATAGATAGATAGATGATAAATAGATGATAGATAATAGTAATTGATAGATGACATAGATAGAAGATAGATTAGGTAGATGATAGATTGAATAGATAATAGATTAGATAGATGATAGATAGATAGATAGATAGATAGATAGGTAATAGATGGAGAAATAATAGATAAAATAGATAGGTTGGCAGAGGATAAAGACAAACAGACCTGACAAGCTGAGTAGCCTAAGTCCTCAGACTGAAGGACCCGACAAGGCCACTCTGGGGACCAGATGGGAGCTAGAAACAGGCAGAATTCTCTTCCCATGACTCACTGGCTGCACTGCACTGTGGGTTCTGAGGCTGCTGTCAGTGCTCACCACCGTGAGATTTCAACTGGGGATGAGGAGGCAGAAGGGACTAGAAAGACTGTGAACTCTGCACCAGTTCTGATCATCCTTATGTAGGTCATGTCATCTTCCGAAGGTCCCAGTGGCAACATGCTATCTTGTTGCTTCGGGTGGCAAATGGCACACTCTCGCTGGTAGAGTGAGAAAGGGAAGTGAAGCACTCAGAGGAGATGCTGCAGGCTCTCTGGAATTCTGGGGCAGAGGCCCCCAAACCAGCGTACAGTCATTCATAAACGGGTTTGAGCGCCCCACCCCGGGAGTGGCACCCTTTCACACCCTTGATGAAAACTGCAAGGGAGCTGCTAATTTTCACTTCAGAAAATGCTCACTGTGAAAATGCGTTGGGAATTTAGCCAGAGGGAATTTTTATGTTAATTTCTGGTACTGGAAAAAGGTGCGGGAATAAAAGAGGAAAACGTCAGTTAAACTATTTCAAGACCGAATAGTCACCACAGCCGTTTTCATTTCCTTGCAGGTAAACAAGCCCCGGAAGTCCGAAGTCCTGTGGAGATTCATACAGAGATTCCTGTTTTCTAGGAAGACCTGCGCTCCTAGGAGTTGGGGTAGCAGAGGGAAGCAGAAGGGTGGTGGGGGACTGTACCTGGGTGTTGATTGAATCTACACTTCGAGGCAGATGCTCCAGAGAGAGCCACGGATCTAAACTCTCAGTGGCTGCCTGGAAGGGGACTTGTGGGCTAACTCCTCTGCCGGTGCCTGTTGTTCTGTATTTGTTAAAGCATGGGAAAAGTAAAAAAAAAAAAAAGAGTAGTATGTGATATATGAAAGCTATACAAAAGTCACATTTCACTGTTTGTGAACTTCTCCTAGAGAGTATAGGGATCATCCAGACAACTCCCCACACACTAGGGCCCAGTAGAATAGTTCCTGAAGGGGGCTACAGTGTGCAAAGCCTAAATTATTTACCCACTGTCCCTTTGCAGAAAATGTTTGCAGACCTCTGACTTACATCAGCTCTAACTCAGAGAGGTAACTTACTCAAGGGCCTTGAGAACAGATAGTGTTTGCCCTCCCAAGTCAGTTCTGAAAAGGCAAATGAGGGTTTGGAGAGATGGCCATCTAACTGTGATCTACAGAGAGGGTTAAAAATTGTTGGGTGGAGAGGTGCACACCTGTACGCCTAGCACCAAGGAGCAGACAGGAGGCTCCCTGGGGCTCCCTGGCCAACTAGTCTAGCCTGGTTGTTGAGCTGAAACTCAACGAGAGCCCTGTCTCAAAGGAGATGGACAACATTCTTGAGAATGATACCCAAGTTTGCCCTCTGACCTCCACACAAATGTGCATACATGCGCACAGGTATGTGAACATGTAACCTCTAGAGGCCTGGAGGTTGCTGGAGGGGAGGGAGGCAAAGCTGACCCAGAGTCTAAAGGTCAAGGAACCTGGAGTTCTGATGACCAGGAAGGAGAAGGGTCCGGAAGGAGAGCACAGGAGTCCTTTCATTTTTTACCTTCTATCTGAATGCCAAGACTACTTGAAGGTGCTGTCCACAGTGACTCACGTCTAGAGCACAGACATGCCCAGAAAAAAGCACTTCATCTGTCACATAGTGGTCTATCCACTAGAGCGAACACCTAAGTTTAACCGTGACTCACGGCTAGAGGAAATAGCGTGATTACAAAGAAGAGAGATCCGGCATCACAGGCACTGGGTGTGAGGCCGGAGACGGTGGGTGTGTGGGACAGGAACCTTGTAGATACTTCTGTATTTCGGTGTATGCACGCTTCCATAATGACATTTAGCATTTTTCTCTGTCATTCTTCTTTTAAACCCAGAGCAGCAGCAGTAAAATAAATCAACAGATCAATTAAAACAGCAAAACCATGCTCCCAAAGTTGAACAGATTCACTAGGAAGCAAAGGTCTAGGGATTCTTTCGGTTACAGGCAGTTTTGTAATACCTGACTATAGCTAATCCAAGATCACACCTGGGATTTGGGGCTTGAGATGCACACATCAGGGGTAGAGTGGTGGCCTAGCAGGTGCAAGGCCTGGGGTACGAGCCCCAGCAAGGAACAGGAACATGTTGCCTTTGGTAAGTTTCTCCTTTAATGTTTTTCTCCCAGTTGACCTCACATTGCTCTTGAGGAGGAATCTGATTACAGGGTTTGTACTCTGCACCTGTGCAAGGCTGTCACTGCAGGGAGCTTTTAACCATGAGCCAAATGGTCAGTGAGACTGCGCTGTGAGGAAGAAATGGTCTGCTGAGCCCAGGTCCCTCACCACTAGAAATGGAAGACCAGGATTTCATGATGCTTCTCACTCCAGTGTGTCCTACAGTCACTCAGGGCAGGGGCTGTTTCCTGAGCCCTAAGGCAAACGGGAGAAAGCCAGACTTAGGAAGCTGGGAAAGAAAGCCCTTAGAGGACTAGGGAACTCTCCTGATTTAAAAACAATAGCCAACAGTCAAGGCAAATTCAAAAGGGTAAGGCACATGGATTCAGGTATCCAATCCATAATCACAAAGATCAGAAACCCCTTAGCTACTTATTTGCTTTGTATTATAACTTTACATCTAGACTTTAGTAGTTACCATATATGGGATAGTACAAATACTGAAAGTTTTTCCCATGTAGCCAGGAGGCCGGGCTATACACAAAAGACTTAGGAAGAGGTCAG